AAGGGTCAAGTCGGCCATAAAGTAGGGCAAGATTAAGGATGGGGAAGCTAGTAAGAAACCTCTTACGAGGGAGAGAGATTGAGAAATTAACAACATCAAACACGTCAATAAAGGTGTTACAATCTCCGGCCCAAAATCAAATGCAGTTGTACCGTTAGGTACTTCTAAACAAGATTCCAGAGAACCCAGGAATGAAAGGGAACATTTCGACCCTATTCTGATGACATACAAGGAACTCTATCAACAACTTCTTGACACCCACGTAGTGTTACCATATCCGGTGGAACCCATAAAGCCCCCATACCCCAAGTGGTATGATGAGAGTGCTCATTGTGAATATCACGGTGGTGTCCCAGGGTACACTATTGAGAACTGTTGCGGATTCAAGAGAGTCGTACAGAAGATGCATAACCAGAACTGGATCAACTTCAACAACTTGGGGGCATCCAAGTGAGGAAGATCATTTCATCATTTAAGGCATTGTGTTTGAATTTATTTATTTTTCATTTTTTTCTCAAGTTTTTTGTAAAGACATTTGAATAAATTTATGTTACTTTAATGATGATAAGCAATGAATCACATTTGCAAACTTGCAATTCTTTGAATATCATTTAAATTAAGAAACTTTGTAAATAGTTCAAAGTTACAGATCTTTGACAAAGTAACATATTTTAAAAACAATGACCTTGATCTTACCCAGAATATACCCCCAAACACCGTACCATGCTCTTGCAATTAACCAATATAACCCTTTCATTTCATAAGGTGCGGACAACATGGGGAATCCTTTTGCTTATGACATTACTATACTTTTTATTTAAGACGTTCGGTGATGATCATAATCTTCACAGATGGAATAGTCGAGTAGGTAAATCTAGTTTAGGTCAGTTTCTTGGAAATTGAACTCTAAAGATAAGATTCTTTGACTTTCAGAAACACCTAGACTATAACAGGTTCTTCTTCACAAACTTAAAAATTGGATCCGTATACCCAGATTATAATATTATATATATACAATAAAGCTTGAGTTATCCCTCTAGAGCAATTGGTTAAACGCCTCGGCTTTATGGATAATATTCAGCTAGCCTGATAAAAGTAATTATACTATACAATAAAGCTTAAGCTGTCCATCTAAGGCAATTGGTTAAACGTCCCGGCTTTATGGATAAGATTCAGCTAACCTGATAAAGGTGTTTATGTATTTAGATGTCCCTCTAGAGCAATTGGCTAAACGCCCTGGCTTTATGGATCCAGCTAGCCATTTAATGGTAAATTTAAATAAGGAGTTTCGGTAAAATGGACTAAGGGAGTTAAGGAACACATGTTATAGTCAAATACACACGAGCACTCAAGAATTTTATTTTTAGACCGATATTTCTGCACTACCTTTATTAAAAGAGCTTACAAAACTTGAACAAATGGAAGATTTCAGAGGACCGAAATATAAGGTCTAGTAATTGATCAGGCTAGTTGCATCATTTTGTCCGCATCCGATTAAACTGCCAAGCCAAAGAAAAGTCTGTTGCAATAACAGTCCAAAAAATGACCTTTTTATGGCTGAAACCTTAGGTCAACCTAAAGCCAACTCATCCATTTGAGTATTTGTCAAAGAGCTATAACTTTGGAAGCATTAAAAGAGCTATTGATTCCTTTGATATTCTTTGAACTCATGTTTATAATTTGATTCGATTGCGAGCGTGAATTAAGGAGCAATATTTATATCATTTTCCCTCCTAAAACAAGAAAAAGGAGAAAAACATTTTCAAATAGAATAGTCTAAGATTTGAAAGGTCTGTAAAGCCAAAGCTCGAGAAGAAAATGGGGCACAATCGATCCCAAGGACTAGATTGACAGACAGAACATGGGACCCCATCCAAGAAATAACACATAATTCATTCATGTTGCATGCATCTTAGACATACTTAGGTGCACCACATTCATCATTTTAGCATACATGATTTTTTTACAGCTTTTTAGAGTCAAGTTTCGACTTCAAGACGAAGGATACTCGATTCGAAAGCACTTTAAAAGATTGATGGTGGTTGCTTAACTCAGCAACAGGAAGCTATTCTGCAACAAACTCGACAGATTGAAAGATTGACAACCAACTTCAGATGGGTTCGAGAACTAATTCAAAACAAATCCAGTCCGCCTCAACTCAACAATGAGCAACATGTTTCCAGTTAACGTCTTCAAGCCAAATTTTAATTCCACAACGGAAGATATCCGGCTATTAGGATTTATCAGTGGGCTTTCCGTAAAAAGGGAGTCATTTAAAGATTGTCTCATTTGGTTCAGACTTGCTCAAAGAAACCACCTGAAGAACTATGACCGGCTTAGACCTGTGAAGGGAAGCCATTTTTTTAAAAGACAACATTTGCAGCATAACTCAAGGCTAGAATTGTTATATGTCACCAAAGACCTTCGAGTTCGACTACGCTCAGCTCCAAGGCATATCATTTACAGCATAACTTAAATCGAGAAGGGTTATCTGCCAACCAAAGACCTTTTGAGTTCGACTACGCTAAGCTCTAAGGCACATCATTTGTAGCATAACTTAAGTTGAGAAGGGCTATCTGCCAAAGACCCTCGAGTTCGATTACACTCAATATCGAGGGCAAATCATTTACAGCATAACTCAAGGCTAGAAGGGTTATCTGTCACCAAAAGACCTTCGAGTTCGACTACGCTCAGCTCTAAGGCATATCATTTGCAACATAACTTAAGTCAAGAAGGGTTATCTGCCAACCAAAGACCTTCGAGTTCGACTACGCTCAGCTCCAAGGCACATCATTTACAGCATAACTTAAGTCGAGAAGGGTTATCTGCCAAAGACCCTCGAGTTCGATTACACTCAGCTTCGAGGGAAAATCATTTACAGCATAACTCAAGGCTAGAAGGGTTATCTGTCACTAAAAAGACCTTCAAGTTCGACTACGCTCAGCTCTAAGGCATATCATTTACAACATAACTTAAGTCGAGAAGGGTTATCTGCCAGCAAAGACCTTTGAGTTCGATTACACTCAGGTCAACGACACATCATTTGTGGTATAACTCAAGGCTAGAAGGGCTATCTTCCAAAGACCTTCGAGTTCGACTACGCTCAGCTCTAGAGTACATCATTTACAGTATAGCCTAAGGCAAGAAGGGCTATCTATCAATAAATTTGTCGAGTTCGACTCCATTCAAATCGATGGCACATCACACTACTGTTTGGTCGCAATCGAGGTTTTTCAAGTCGAGAAGAAGACCCGGGTTAACTGCCCTCAGTGACAAAAAAGCTGTTTCCCGGCAACATAGCTTAAGACGAGAAAAGCTATATGTCAACGAAGACCTTTTGAGTTCGATTTCATTCAGCTCGAGGGCCTATCAACCGCATGGTGGAGTCAATGAACTACTTTCCAGTCGAATTTTTAACCAAGGTCTTTAAACCGAGAAGATGACCAATGTTGACTACATTTGGGCAACGAGAAACCGCATCTCGATTCAAATTTCGAACTACGGTTTCAATTCCATATCATTTCAAGATGGACTCGACTTCGCGACTGGGGAGCCATCCGCAACTCATATTCGACAGGGAGTTATTCCTCATTCAAATCAATTCTCAACTCCATCGAACGAAAATTTGTGTCATTTTGCCTTTGCTCTATTTTTTCGTTCCACGAAAAAGGACAAAGAGGGACAGCTGTAGACACCAATTTTCGTCCATTATATATATATATTATAGTTTGAAATCATTTTGAAAATTATACAATATATGGGTTTTTTAAATATTTTGAAAATATATAATATATAATTTTTGAAAACATTTTTAAAAATATATATAATATATAGTTTTTAAAAACATTTTTAAAAAACATATATATTATATAGTTTTGAAAATTAGTTTTTAAAATATATATATTATATAGTTTTGAAAATTAGTTATAAATATATATATATTATATAGTTTTAAAAATTATTTTTTAAAAATATATATTATATGGTTTTGAAAATTATTTTTTAAAAAACATATATTGTATAGTTTTAAAAATGTTTTTATTGTATTTATTTATTATTATTATTATATTATTATTTACCTTTTTATTATTTATTTTATTTTTTTATTTATTACTTATTATATTTTTCTTTTTTCTCGTTTTAGGTCCAGGGTCCAATTCAATATGTCCAAAGCGTTCGGGTCCAGCATCAGCTAAGTGGGCCTGAACCAGCCCAAGACCATTAGGGTATGAAAAACCCTAACATAACCAGTCAACAACGCCGCAAGGGAGCAAACCAACGGCTAACGTGTTTTCTGGCTGCATCTACGGGATTGAACCATCCCGAGGTGACCGGTGTAACATGCATAAAGATCTCGGTCAACCAACAACCATGATCTCGAGATCGTCGGGACCCAAAACGGCTAGAACCGAAAAGCTTCAGGGGGACACCGATTATCACAGAAAAAAACCCACGGCCATCACGAACAGAACCCTCGGGAGAACAAGATCGAGCCAACATCTCGGTATCACAACCGAGATCCAACAACATAGAAAACCGAGACAAAAGAGCAACACAAGAACAACATAGCCACTCAAAAAAAGCACACATCAAAAACACAAACGCAAAGGCCGAAGCCCCACAGCAGAAATGCATAATTTATGATTTTTGTGTAACTTTAAACCTTAATTTTACATGTTGACTTTATGGGAAATAATTAGAATAGATTGATGTTTATTTATAGCGAAGTAATGAAAGTAATCCCATTGTCAAAGGAGAAAGAAATCGATAGGAGGAAGGGTTGGGATTATTATTTATAAGGGGTTTAATAATAACAGTCCTATATATATTTCCCTACGAAAATCGGATCAAATAAGCAAATAGCGTAAGTAAATCAATATGATCCTCTTTATTTGTGGCAAAAATTTCCCAGCCATTGTTGTCTTTTACAAATAACTAATGGTTTAACTGATGATCTTCTTTCTCTCTTAGTTGTCAAATTTTGAAGTTGAAATTGTTGCCGTCTGGATTGAACATGGATCAAACTTGAAGCCAGAGAATTTGAAGTCGGGAATCTGGGTTGATTTCAATAACAAAAACACAATGCATCATTCCAAGTGGTCGAAATACCTAAGCTTCACGTCGTCTCGCGATTGGCTCTATCGCTACTCGTTCGGTAACGCCGGTCTTCGTTCGATCAAGACTGATCTGGGCGAAGGCACCGTCATGCACTGTTGGGTACCCAAAACACGCAACGCCTCAAGGCCCAATATACTCCTGGTTCATGGATTTGGTGCCAACGCGATGTGGCAATACGGTGAGCATCTCCGGCACTTCACGTCTCGATTCAATGTGTATGTGCCGGACCTCATCTTCTTCGGCGAATCGTACACGACGAGAAGGGAGCGGACGGAGTCGTTCCAGGCTGAATCGGTGATGAAACTGATGGAGGCGCATGGGGTAGGGAGGATGAGCCTGATAGGGATAAGCTACGGTGGGTTCGTGGGGTACAGTATGGCGGCGCAATTTCCGGACAAAATGGAGAAATTGGTGTTGTGCTGCGCTGGGGTTTGCTTGGAAGAGAAAGATTTGGAAGATGGTTTCTTTAATGTTTCGGATTTGGATGAGGCTTTGAGTATATTGTTGCCTCAGACGCCTGAGAAACTTAGGGACTTGATGAAATTCTCCTTCGTCAAGCCCATGGGCAAGTGGCTGCCAAGCTTTTTTCTCTCCGATTTCATTGATGTAAGCTTCACTTTCTCTCTCTGTCTATATGTTATATGTGTCATCACATTATCTAAACAATTTTGGCATTGAATAGCACAATATATTTTGTGAAGGTAATGTGTACAGATTATCTACAAGAGAAGAGAGAGCTGCTGGTGACCATACTAAAAGACAGAAAAATCAGCAACATTCCTAAGATCACACAGGTTTAATCTCTCTTCTTCTTCAACCTCTGCATGGGTTATTAGTGTTAAATTGATAAGTTCTCTTTTTCATCTTCTTAAAGAGCGTACTAATAATCTGGGGTGAAGAAGATAAAATATTCCCCTTGGAACTTGGCTACAGATTAAAAAGGTATTCTTATGCAAATTATAAATGGATGTGTCGTCTTATTTAGAAATGGAAATGATTTGTTAAGTGAATGGTGCTGTAGGCATGTGGGGGAAAATGCACAGATTGTAGTGATAAAGAACGCAGGGCATGCAGTTAACTTAGAGAAGTCCAAGGATTTCCTCAAGCACTTAAAATCTTTCCTCTTTGATTCTCAATCAACCCCTCCCCCTCCCCTTTTCCCTATTTTCAATTCTATATGGTCTTAACTTCTTCTTCTTCTTTCTTCTTTTATCAAATTTAATTTACACCTCAACATTAATCATTTTCCATTTCAACATAAATCAAATGATAATTAGAACAAAATGTAAAAAAATATAGATTTTAAGATTGAAATATTTCAACATCATTATTATTATTGATGATAAAGTTTTCCCTCAATCTTTATTTCAATATATATTTTCTTCTTGTTACTTTTCTTAACAAAATTTTTGGTTCAAAATATGTTACATTATTAAAATTCATTTATATATATATTCTTTGTAGTTATTTTAAATATATATAGAATAAACATATTATGTCATATATAAATTATATATTCGAATTGATGATAGCTGACCAATTTTAAATCTATTTATTTACATCAATTTAAGATATAAAAATCAATTGAATTAGGTTGATTAAAAAAAACAACCAAATTGAAAATAATGTCCAATAAGCTTCAAGATATACTCTGTTGAAAAATTAAAAGCTACAAAATCAAATCGTAATGAAAATTTATAAAATAAATAAACGATTAAAACCAACAATCATGTCCTGGTATTAACCTGTATTAGAAACAAATTCGTCTTGATATATATATATAATCATAGTTATAGGTGGTCATCCCCGAGAATAGCAAGACTCTGAGATTTGTACATCCGAATATCAAAGTGGACTAACGGTGATATTGCACTTTTCTTATCGCCGAAAGAAAGCTTGGAAAAACTTTACAGAGAAAAAAGGAATTTTGTAAAGAGGAAAATATGTTTTGTTTTTGCAATTGGATGATAAAAAATGAGAAAAGGGGCTTGTATTTATAGGTTCCATTCACAGACACAAAGCATGAAATATGACTTAATCCACGCAGGTGTTACATCTGCTACCATAAAACTGTTGTGTAACAAATATATCCACTGAAATTAATCTTGTAATTAATCTTATTGAAATTCTTGTTTGCTGATGAATATAGCTTCAAAATCGTCTAGATACATATTGCGAAAAAACAAGTCATTTTATAGAAATCAACAGTTGTATTAACTGTTACATTACAATAAAAATCAACAGCTGTATTAGTTGTTATGTTACAGCAACATTAATACCAATAATTACTCTAATCACAATTGAAAATATTTGTATCACACGTTTCAAGTTTCTCCTATAAATAAAGTTCAAACTTTCTTAATTCAGTTTTACAAAACATTATTTTAAAATAAATTCTCTTGAATTTTCTAAAAAAAAAAAATGGAATACACACGAACATGTCAACATGTATGAGTACAACCACTAATTAGCTAAACGGAAACAATACAATTGTGACTTGTGTTGTGTAAGGGATTTATCAAACTACATTTAATAAAAAAATTGGAAAAGAGACTCTTTAAATAACCTTCCCAAAAGATGTTCCCTCTCAATATGGTATACAATGCTCTTAATCCTTAGAGCAATACTAACCTACTCAATACATTTGAATTATACTCGAAAAAGAAGAAGAAAAAAACTTCAAAAAAAATTCAAGATTTAAAATTTGTATAAGCTATGTCATTGGACATTAAAATTTATATAAGTTTTCATTTTCAGTATCAACATTTTTAGAGTTACACAACAATCACTATCATTGTTTTATTTGTAACAAAAATTGAGTTGTTAAGAAAAGAATTTCCACTGCGAAAATGTACGAATTGTTGGATTAAAATTCATAATTATGATTACTTATTTATAATGTATATTGTTATCATAAAATATTAATAAATTAAGTGACCAATTATATTATAAAATCATAAGACATTAGGAGTATCATGAAAATAAATGTGTAGATACTATTAAAGTTGTATTTATAATTGATGAGGGGTACTGTTATAAGTATAAACGATAAATGAATCTTAAATCAACTATATAAATGGGTTATGGCCCCCCCAAGAAATAGATCATCTCGTATTTTCTCTTATTATCGTTAGTGATTTTATACTTAAGGAAATTCTATCTTCTTGGAAAATAAAAACCGTAAAACAATCTTCAAGATCTCAACCTTCTAGATAATCTTCAACAATTGATTCAGGTACGTTTCTATAAATCTAGTATTTATTTTATTTTTTGTGGTTTGAGATGATTAGATCATGGTTTCATTTCATGTTTAATTATATTTTATGGTTTTAACAAGTGACATCGACGCATGTCATATTAAATAATCAAGAATAGATTGATTTTAGGATTTATAATTCAATATTAAAATTATGCGATAACTCGTATTCACGTTGAATGCTACTATATTCACTTTGCGATAAAGTTATTTTTCAATTCAAAGAATTTGGATATGGTTTTGCAAATAGATTTTGCTCTGTTATCATTGGATTTTGCGTTTAGGTTATTTATTTATTTATTTTTCAATCCTTGCATACTCGTGCTCATTTATTTTCTTTGTAATCACAAGGTTAATGTAATTAATGTCGGTGCACATAATTGTTATGTTTTTTTAATATTGATATATATTAATTAAAATTTTAATTTTGATTGTAGGTTATTAAGGAAATTATTTAAAAATAAATAAATTCATATTTTGACTATGTCTGTGTAACACCCCAACTCGTACCCGACTCGGATACGAATCCGAGGGTGTCACATGGATCTTTTAAAAACCTTTCCACTTATAAAAGTTATGAAATATTTAAACTTTCATTAAAATAAAGTTAACTAATTTACATAAGTATGTTCAAAACATTACAAAATCAATCAGAGCATACGTAATTTACACTTTGTTTACATGCCAACATATTTATTACAACAAAGACATACTGAGTAAATTACTTCTGATCTAATCTTCGAGTAGAGGTATGTTGTTTCTGTAGATCCTAGTTCTATCTTCCTGCTTCTCAGTACCTACGTGTGAAACACTCACACGCTAAATCATTGACTTAGTGATGCATATAATAAAATGATGCATATAATAAAATAATGCATTCCTAAAGTATGAACATGTAATCCAATCATTTCATATACAATCACAATTATCATATCACTATTTAATCATGTCACATATGATCCATCTTTAACAATAATAACATGATATCTTATAACAACAGAAACTCTTTTTATATCTTTTATGTGCCCATGTACATTACTGAGAACTTAAGGTATGCGAGTACATTGAGGTTGTGCACATATGCTGTCACCACAGCTCGTATAATGGTCCACTGAGTGGCATATAAAATTTGTCTCGAAGGACCTCATATAACCCTTGACTCTTGATATGCCAACTATACCTATAGCTCTCATATCACATAACATGGGCTTGAATATTTATATGTTCCATATATCCATATAATCACTAATTCATCACATATTCATGTACTCATATCATTTCTCTTATAATCACATATATATTATCACATGTACATATAATCATCTATCTCATATCATGTAGTTTATTTTATTTGATTATGTTCACATGGATCATATAGTGTGTATCAAAACATATAAACATATAACACTTATGCATGTGTTTATAATGATCATAATATATGCATGTTCATAACTATTGAACCATGAAATTTAATCATAGGAAATAGACTTATCACAAGTCTTATTTCCATAAAACTACATCTATACTATAGCATGCACTCACCTTAGCCTCACTTAATTCAAATAAACTTCTACGACTTTATCCCTCTTGATCGATCCTAACTCTTTTGTTGTTCCGGAACTTGCTTATGCTCGATATCTACAAAATCATACATTTGATATTCATATCAGAATTTTAAGTATTATAATTCGACCCTTAATAATCCAAACTAAAATAAATGTTTAATATAATTTTCCCCTTTGTATAGTATATGTACCCAAGGTATGGTACCGATACTTCCTTATTTGTTGTATCGATACCGAGCCTGGGTATCGATACCTTTTCCCGGTTCTGGAATCCTTATTTCCAAAATGGTATCGATACTTGACCTATGGTATCGGTACCCTTAGTATCGATACTACCCTTTAGGTATTGATACCCCTTGCATAAATTATCCAATTTTTCGATTATGGTATCGATACTTCCAAATATCACTATTTTTCCTTTGAAGTATTGGTATTGAATGAAGCAGTACCGATACTCATAGCCCAGAAATCTCTTTTAAACCTGAAATTTACCCATATCAACTTAAACCCTTCATTTCTTAATCCCTTTCATACTCTTAAACTTAAGTACACATACTAAAATCAATTTCTATTCATATAACACATCCTTATCTTCAAAATTGCATCCTATATCTTGAAATTAAGAATTCTACTAATTTTCCAACATACTCTATTTTCAATTCTAACACTTCATATTCCTTAATCTAACTGCTGGCAAGTCAAATTTAGTCTCAAACTTTACTTACTAACACTATTCCAAGATTTCACTTATCACCCACTTATCTTTAATTCTTTCTAACTCCTTCATCGTATGGTTTTAAGACAACTTAAGCTTTCCTTAAGCTTAAGTATCATCTAAGGAACATAAACCAAACTTAAATTCAATGAATAATCAACTAGAAAAAAAACTTATCTTGGCTTTCGGTAGCTCACGGCTGAAAGAGGAAGAAGAGTTCTCTGGAAACTTCCTTTTCCCTTATTCCTTCAATTCCACGTGTATATATCCCCACCATAATCCATTTTTAATTCATTTACTGGTCAAATGGCCATTTTCCCCTTTCAATTATCCTTCTTTGATATTCAATCCTACATAAAATTTTCCATATAAGTCCCTAAACTTTTCAATTTATCTACTTTAGTCACTAAATTTTGAAATTTTACAATTTGGTCATTAACCCGGTGTTTGGGATGCTACAAATCTCTCCCTTTAGAAAATTCATCCTTGAATTTTCATTGTACAAAGAGATGGGGGTACTGATTCCTCATGTCCTCTTCACGTTCCCACGTTGCTTCCTCTACTTTGTGATTCTTTCATAATACTTTGACCAATGGAATAGTCTTGTTTCGTAACTGTTTCACCTCATAAGCCAATATTTATACCGGTTCTTCCTTATAAGTCAGG